CCACTGACATGTCAGAAACATAGACCATCCCCCTACTGGTGACAAGACCTTTAACCATGACTATACCTAGGACTATGATGGCGACTACCCTTTGGGTGACGCGGCGCCGCTTCTACGACCTCTCGGTAAGGGCCCACGCCTGTCTAAAGCGTCGTCATTTAGCGTCCATGCGCGGTCTCCAGGGGTGGTCTTTACTCTCGCGCTTGACTCCGGTGTGACCCGCGCGTTTGACTTTGGCGTGAGTATCCTTGGGCATTTCTTCAGCGTGGTTATATCAAAGCAAATTTTTCCTTCAGGCCATGTCTTCAATTTCTCACGACCCCTAATATTACCTGTTGTATTAAAGCACAAGTATGAGAGCATGTGTTAACCTCAAGCCCTTGAGTTTCCTTTCGTTTGAGGGGGCATGTAAGGAAGTGGTTAAGATCCATATATGAATCTTTCACAACGTAAAACTCAAGTCATTGAGACCATTTGGTTTATCACATGGTATTAGAGTTGGTTTGTGTTTGAGGTCACATGTATAAGTGCTCACAACCATCAATATTAACTTTGTCTATAAAACACACGGGCAAATCGCACTGGCCGTGTATGCGACCCCTTGTGGCCGTGCGGAAAGTCCAGGGAGCTCACACGGCCAGACTGGAAATCCACACGGCTGTGTGGTTTTCGCCGTGTAGCGTAACTGAAGCCACTTAAGTGAAACGCGGCGTTTTGCACTTCCACATGGGCAGCTGGGGATTTCACACGGCCGTGTGGCCTGGTCGTCTGATCGGGAAGAACTGGGTTTTAACCCAATTTTGAGTCTTTTGAAGGGAGAATCGAGTTTTTGAGCAAGAAACAGAGCCCTAAAGAGAGAAAGTGCGAAGAACACATCCTAGAAGTGATTTTGGAGCTGGGTTCCATCAATTGAGCTTGGAGATCATCATAGGAGTGAAGATCATCATCCCATAGCAGATTTTCCTCATCTTTATGAGTATGACTACTCTGTTTTCTGTTTTCCTCTCTCTCTCTATGGAATAGAACTTTCTCTCACTTGGGTATGAAGAACCCTAGTTCCATGTGTTAGGGATCTTGATTGTAATGACTTGGGATTGTTATACTGTTTGATTTTAATCGATTGATGCATGATTATTTGAGTCAAATAAAGCCTAATCACCTTTTCTTGATTTCTGCTGCAACCTGAGATAGATAGAATCTGATTAGGTTGTTAGAGCTTCATCAATCGGTAGTGGTAGATTGATTATACGAGAGTTAATCAATTTACTGCATTGTACTGGAATCCAATTCCAGTAGTGGAGTTCTGTGTTCATAGCCTCAGCAGTCTATCCCGGTGAAGGTTAGTCGCCTTCCGGTTAGCCTGCCTGAGAGGGCTTGGTCAGCTTAAGAGATTCCAAGCTACTGTGGGATCTTCCGCAGTTTAATCAACAGTTAATCAACCTAGGGTAATTACAACCACGACCTAACTAAGGAGCTAGGGGGACTCAAACCCGAGTGACTCTCCCCTTGCGAAAGAACTTTGAACCATTTCCTGCTTTCTTACTGCTTTTAGTTAAAACCACAATCACTCGACTTAGTTTGCTAGATAACAGATATTCACGGATCTAGACCCCGGGTTGACAAATAGAGCTCGCCACTTTACTGCATTACCGGACTGCGATTACACTTGGTCGCAGTTTGGTGTTGTGTTTTAGCGTGTCAAGTATTCGGTTGCTTCCCTTGTAAACAGCAGACCTAGTGAAGCTTCATTCTGCGAGCGATGCAATCCATGGATTAATCCCGATTCATCAGGAAAGCCACGTTAAATTGTTGTGTTCTTTATTTTTCTGCACTTGACATTATTTTACATGGTATCAGAGCAGTAAGATTTAGGTTCATTGTTCTATTTCATCATGGGCAAGGACGATTGAGACTAGCGGCAGAAAATCGGTAGACCTGAATGATGCAGTCATCCAGATCAGCTCCCCTCTCTACCTACATCCTTCGGAGAATCCGACACAATTATTTGGAATTGATTTGTTGAATGACTCCAACTATGGATAATGGGCGAATTATATTACTGAGACTTTCATTGACAAGAACAAATAGGCGTTAGTGAAGGGATCCTTTCCCCGCACCAAGGCAAACAATGGTCCTCGGCGGGATGCGTGGGACAGATGTGACGCGACTATTAAAGGACTGTTGAAGAGTGCGATGATCCGCGAGGTTCGCAATAGCGTCCGGACAGCAACGACAACTCGTGTTATCTGGGTTGATTTATAGCAGCGCTTCAGCAAAGGCTCTGCTCAGCGAGCCTATGAATTACGTCGCCATGTTAGCTCTTTTCGACAAGAAAAAAGGTCATTTTGTGCCTTCTATACCAAGCTCCGTTTTATCTGGGATGAGAGGCATTCAATAGGGGAAGTAACCCATTGTACTTGTAATGGTTGCACCTATTGAGGTTGCACGTGCAATTGGGTACGTCAATATCATGTGCGGCAAGATACTGATTATCTTGTCGAGTTCCTCATGGGTCTCGATGATGCCTATTCGGTTGTACGCTCCTAGATTCTTAGAAAAAAACCTACCCCATCATTGGTCGATGCTTACCAGGTGGTTGCTGTTGAGGAGAAACAACATCAAATCACTAGTTCTCGACGCCTCGTGGTGGATACAGCTGTATTTCAAGCGCACACAGAAAATAAGCATCTCGATGATCTCCCTTGTTGTACACACTGTAACAAGTTGGGTCACAACAAATATACTTGTTATCGTCTCATAGGGTACCCAGCAGGCCATCCTCGTGCAAAGCAGGCTGATGGCCGAGCAGGCTCGAGTGCAAGGCGCTCCAAGGTGGCGGACGTAGAATCCGAGACCACGTCTCCCATTTCAGGAATCACAGCGGCTCAGTTTTCCAGTTGAAGGTGTTTCTGGCCTCCACCGATAGTCCTTCAATTCCCACAACTCACATGGCGGGTAATATTTCTGATTTCGATGCTTGGTTGATTGATTCTGGCTGTAACGAACACATTGTTTGGGATATTAGTTGGTTGGATTCCGTGGATAGTTGTCTTGCTCGGTGTCAAGTTCGAATTCTATGGTACTAGGATACCAGTTAAGGGTATAGGGATAGTTCAGTTCACAGATTTGTCACCCATAGTCGTGTGCTATATGTCTTGGCTTTCAAGTGCAATCTCTTATCGATTAGTCAATTGGCTTAGGATCATAATGTGTCGGTGACTTTCTTGCGTGATTTATGCATACTTTAGGTCTTACCTTTCAAGATACTGATTGGAGTAGTGTGACTAAAAGATGGCTGTACTATCTCACTAGTTTTCGTGAAGGAGAGTCCACGAAGGCTTGCACGCGCGATCGACGGTTTCCTCTAAGCTGTGGCATGCTCGTCAGGGGCATCCATCATTTGGGTTGTAATTTTTCTTCTCTGGATTTCAGGCATTATGATTCTTGTTTTCGAGCTAAGCAGACTCGTGCACCTTTTCCCCTCATCTCTATTAAAACCCCTAGTTGTTTTGATTTTATTCATGTTAACATTTGGGGGCGTATAGGATGCCTGCCCTTGATGGTTTCCATTATTTCTTAACCTTCATGGATGATTTCAGTCATTCTACTTGGGTTTATTTGATGAAGTTTAAGTCTGCTGTGGAACGATATCTTCGCTTATATTGTCAGCTTGCTCGTACGCAGTTTGGGCGTACTGTTAGCCGCATACAGGCAGACAATAGTCTTCAGTACCAAACGAACTCTCTCATGACATTCTACGAGGATAACGACATGGTCCGCCAGACAACTTGTACCGACACTCCCCAGCAAAATGGTGTGGTTGAGCGCAAGCACCGTCATTATCTATTGGAAACGGCCTGTGCCTTGATGTTTCACTCATGCCTACCTATTCGTTTCTGGGGGCGTGTGTTCTCACAACGACATATTTGATTAATCGAATGCCTTCGTCGGTCATTTCTGGCAAAACGCCATTTGAGATGTTTTTGGGACGCTCTCCTACTTATGCATGCATTCGCAATTTTGGTTCTCTTGCATATAGGTAGGACACTCATCAAGGTCTTGATAAGTTTTCCGAGCGTGGCTAAGCGGGAGTCTTTATTGGTTACCCCCGAACTCAAAAGGGTTATCGAATTTATGATTTCCAAACTAAGAAGATCTTGGTTTTCCACGATGTGCACTTTATAGAGCATGCTTTTCCTTTCTTGCTCAAGGCGCAACAGGGAGCATGCGATCATCTTCGTCCCTTCCCTCCGTCGAGACGTGTGTCTTGCGTCCCATGCATGCAGAGATGGACACCCATGCCTCACCTCCTTTCTTGGCCGATGACGAACCTGTTGATGAAGTGGGTAACTCGTCTTTGGAAGCCTTTGACAGTTCGCCAGCAGCTAGCAGATCCAATGCAAATCCCATATCCCTGTTTGTCCATCGTGATTCGTCTTCACATGATGATGAAGCGGGCAATAGTTCAGCCGTTCCTTTGGTAGTTGACTCTCCTACCTCAGCGAATGATATGGGACCGAATTCTACGGACTCTATGCATGTAGACACGCCAGTGACTCCTCGTAGGGGATACCACGTTAAATCGTTGTGTTTTTAATAATTCCGCACTTGTCACTATTTTACACTCATTAAATATAAACCCTACTTTATATTAATTAGCATTTCCGTCGAGACTCTATGCATGTTGAAAATTGAGTTTAATCATTCCATCCCACGTACCTTTCAACTTGGACGGGTAAGATGCGGTGAAAAACAAACGCCAACCACATGCAAACCTAACTATGGATCTACGCTAGGATCTCCACCAACACTAAACTCTTCTAGAGGTCCAAAAGATAAAAGATGGAAGAAAATGGATCCGCCGGAGCTCGGCCGGCGACGAGCACCTTCTTTTGCGCGCGACTATAAAAAAAAACGTTACGAAGCTGCTTTCACAGATGGGAAATAAGCTATCGATTAACTAGCTATAGCACCTTCATTGTTAATCCAAACAGCTAGCGATGGCAGGTTTCGTCTTCCCTAAACCATTACTAGTTGCAGCCACGGTGGTACTAGTAATTGTTCCGGGATATTTGGGCGACGGATCAGGGGCGCCACCTGGCTCCACTGCTGACTATTGCGGCCTAAACGAGGCGGCCGATCAGGCCAATTTCCCTGGGTACGTTGATTTTGTCCTTGAGGATGTTGTTAAAAACACGCAGGAGCAATACGCAGACGCTACTACCGGCGAGACGACGTACAGCTCAACTAGTCCAGTTGGTGGCGGTAGAGGTGCGGCCACCGGTAAGGCGACTTGTTACAGCGGCGTCACTGGAAATAGCTGCGGGAAATGTCTTTCAGAAGCGGTACAGTATGTGAGCCCATGTGCTCACTATACGACCGGCTCAGCTTACTACGATCAGCGCTGCTTCCTTCACTACTGGCAACTCTAAATGAAAAAAATTAAATCGGAACTGTTGTTGGTCTATGCGTATCAATGGACAATATAATGATCCCCCGTCGTGGTTTATTATGAGGTTGTTGGAATAAGTTGATGATCTCCTATACCGTATCTCTTTGGTTTTAATTCCCAGCTACGTGGTTTGAGAAATTTTACAATCCTATATAGTATTGGTGCTATAGGATTTTTCTTTTATGGTACAACTTCAGATTGTACCTATACTTTTTGTACAAATTCTTTTATGGTACAACTTGAACTTGTACTTTGATGTGATGGTACAACTTAAAGTTGTAAAGTTGTACCATAACATAATGGTACAAATTGCTTTATGGTACTACCTAAACTTATACATTTAATGTTATGGTACAACTTTAAGTTGTACATTAAAGCACCAATACTATATAACATAGTAGAAGTGCTCACGTGGTTTAATTAAGTGTGAGTTGATTACAAATTACGTTGTGCTTTGCTTTTCCCTTCAATTCAATAAAACTTTGCTTTTCAGTTAACTACGGCGACGGACGTTTTAGTTAGATGGATAGAGTGGTTATCAGTAACTAAACGGGATGGGTAGCGTAGCCGTAGGGGCCTAATCGGAAAATTAGTTAAGGTGAGTCCATTTATAAAATATAAATATATTAATTTTGAAAAAATTTATTTATATATAATTAATATAATTGTTTAAATTTAAAGTGTGAGTAAATTTAAATTAGAAAAATCAATATAAGGAATGAAAGGAAATCAAATAAAAAGTTGAATAAAAATTAATGTTTTTTCACAAGAAAAGTTGAAGTAAGAAGATAATGAGTTTAATTTGGCTATAAAAAGTAAACCTTGCCTGAGAAAGAAAATCAAATGAGAAAAGTTGAAGTAAGAAGGGAATGTATTTAATTTGGCTATAAAGGAATAAAAGTTACATTAGATAATATTTGAACTTGAGACCTCTTATTTATTAAACAACATATTAACCATACAGACCACTTTGATTTCTTGATTATATTTTGAAAGTCATTGTTTTATAACTATTTATTTATTTGTCGATTTTTCATATCCAAATGCGAAAAAATATTGTCATCTTCCGATCAAAGGTGGGTCCAAGGACCCACCCTATTATACTCTGGCTTTGCCCCTGGGTAGCGGTCGGTGATGGGTTGTCATTTTCACAACACACCTTGTAGTCCATAGCTATCAGATGCAATTCTATTTTATGTTTCTTTCATGTTTTTTTACAAATTGATGGTTAAGATAAAATTAACGGTACTTTTGGAAAGGAAAAAAACTTATCACACTCAGTCACTCTCCCTCTCATATATATATATATATATATATATGACGAGTTCTATGGTACCCTTGGTGAAATCCGATGTACCGCATACCTTGAGTATGAAAACACTATCTAGACCTTGAATTGACCGATCTTTCGGACATGATACTATACTCTAACACTTAAAGATCAAAATCTAGGTGTTAACTCTCCCAATCTTATACTCCAAAATCAATTTAATTAGAAATAATAATCGACGGTTATGATTCATCCAAATATAGGCACAAAAAGGAATGCACCATCTTAGGGTTTATAGATTATGATTTAGATAATTATGACCTAGAGTTCACTCATTAAGGGTTAGGGTATAATATCAGACACAAAAATCCTGGTAATTCGAGGTCTAGATAGAGTTTCCATACTCGAGGTATGCGTTACCCCGGATTTCACCCGGGGTACCATAGAAGCCACCATATATATATATATATATATATATATATATATATATATATATATATATATATATATGGATATGACTGGTATGCTCCAGTCCTTTACACCGTTAATCTAATCTAACGTTTATTATAAATTATGATGAATTTAATAATAATAATTACTACTTGCACCACTTAAATAATTAGATGTACTATGAAGTCAAACCAAAAGCAAGAACTCAGGACAACCACAAAACATGACACCTAGATCTCAATATGGGCATGGTATGCGTCTGGAGCATACTATGCGTTTAGAGCACACCAGTCTGACCCTATATATATATATATGGTGGCTACTTCGGTGTACTCACAAAAATGAGTGCATTCAATGCACCAAACTCTAAAAGTAGCCTTAAGACATCAATTTTTTATTTTAATTGGTAAGATTAGTGTAATATGATAATATAATATAAGATCACAACTAATCAATGCATTAACCTAAGCCCTAAACCTTCAATTTTGAACTTTTGCCCTAAACCCCAAATCATGAACCCTAACCCTAACCCTAAATCTATAAATCATAATTTCTTCAAATTAATGTAAATTTTGAATAATTTGTGTGCTAATTCATGGGGTTTCTTTTTCATCGTATCATACGTGATGATTAACATTGTTTTGACATGAATCGCATGCTCATAATGACAAATATAAAGCGAGTGCATTGAATGCACCCAAAAATGTGAGTGCACCGAAGCCATAACCATATATATATATATATATGGGGAGTTCTACGGTACCCAGGGTGAAATCCGGGGTACCGCATACCTTGAGTAAGAAAACGCTATCCATAACTTGAATTGACCGATCTTTCGGACATGATACTATACTCTAACCCTTAAAGATCCAAATTTAGGTCTTAATTCTCTAAATCATATACCCCACGATCAATTTAATTAGAAACAATAATCGACGGTTATGATTCGTCCAAATATAGGCAAAAAAATCAATGCACCATCTTAGGGTTTATAGCTTATAATTTAGATAATTAGGACCTAGGGTTCACTCATTAAGGGGTAGAGTATAGTATCATGCCCAAAAATCCTGTTAATTCGAGGTCTAGATAGCGTTTTCATACTCAAGGTATGTGGTACCCAGGATTTCACCTGGGGTACCGTAGAAGGCACCATATATATATGTATGGTGACTACTTCGGTGCACTCACAAAAATGAGTGTGTTCAATGCACCCAACTCAAAAACTAGTCTTAAGGTGTCGAATTTTGAATTTGAAGATGTAGAATTAGTGTAATATGATGATATAACATATGATAACAACTAATTAGTGGATAACCCTAAGCCCTAGACCTTCAATTTTGAGTTCTATCCGTAAACCCCAAATTATAAACCCTAATCCTAAATCTCTAAACTCTAATCCTTCAAATTAAAGTAAATCTTTAATGGTTTTTTGTGCAATTTCATGTGTGTTATTGTTCATCACATCATAAGTGATGATTGACATCATTTTGACATAAATTGCATGTTTAAAATGACGGTTATGAAGCGAGTGCACTGAATGCACCCAAAAAAGTGAGTGCACCGAAGACGTCACTATATATGGTGACTTCTACGGTGCCCAGGGAAAAATCCGGGTACGGGTACCTTGGCCGATCTTAACCATTCGTTTTCAATCTCCACGGCTTACGTTTGTTAAACCTTCTTGCGCCACTAAATAACTAAACAAATTACAAAAAAGGCTCCTGCCACGTTAAGTTTTTTTTTCATCCTAGTCCAACTAACTAGGCCGATTAAATTAAATGGATTAAGATTGCAACCCAATTGGGTAGACCCACTGCCGCCCTAACCAATTTCCAGTCTCCCTAACCAATTACACGATCCCTCTCTCGTCTTGGAGGGACGCCCCTTCACAGTTCCAAGAGAAGCTCCCCATCCAATTTGAACTCCCCAACTTAATCATCTTTTTGAATCCCAATTACTTGAATCCACATTCGACGTAGATTGAATTTCCCAATTTATTTTGTCTTGTTTTTTCTTCGCTATTTTATTTCCCCTCGCCTATCTCTTTCTAACACGATTACAACGACCATGTCTATTATTGTGTTCATCAAACTTTTCATTTGCAAAAGAACCCTTGAAAGAGGTTTGCTAACCCTAGGGTTCATGTCGCTAGTGCTTTGTCATCTTGTCTTAGCGTTATTGTGATTTTCTCGAACCTTATATCTCTCGGTGAAATTTAGGTTTCTGATATGTAGCGTTCGTCTCATCTAGAGGATTGAGGAAGAAGATGAAGAACACATAATTTGATTCGAATCGGATGGAGATGTCTCCTTAGTTTGTGTTTATGAATTAACGGTGCGTTTAGGAGTAATTCTAGTAGGTCTGGGTCTGATCATTGATTTTTGCAAGCTTTTAAATAACATTCAGACGTGGGCTTGTACATGACCCATGCAATATTCAAAAGTGGGCCTGGAACGTGCGAGCCCATATGTTTTCTCTTGTCGTATCAATTCGTGCGCAAACCCTAGTTTAACTAGCTTTACTTACCCTAGTTTAACCTACACGAGTTAACATCATCATTACTACATATCTTCCGAAATCTTCTAACTCTTGACATTCCAGACTCAACCGTCTCCATCACACTCACGTCTCCACACTCAACCCCCACGATCACTTTTTCTTACACCTACATTCTCTCTTTCCTCCATCTTCACCTTCCCTTGTTCCTTCTTCCTCCAGACTCCATGGCAAACAAAGGTAAATCGTTTGCGGAAATGGGGATACTATCTCTATCAAACGAAGACTACCGATCCACTGCAGGTCTCGGTGACTATCTTTCATTTACAAGCAAGACAACAATTGTTGTCGAGTACGAGTTCATCCACCTAAGTCCTTTCCCTCAAGAAGTAAAGAAGTTAATTAAAAATATTGGCTGGGAAAAGTTCTTTGGTCTCCAGAGTCGAGGAAGCACCAGTTACTGCCCGCATGTGGTGAGGAAGTTCTACCACAATTTAGAGTTGTCTGGTCCCTGTGATTCTCATCTCGTGTCGATCTTCCTGGGACATAGAGTCTACTTCCAGCCTCATCAGTTTGCTGAGATCCTCGATCTCCCCGCCGCAGGACACTCCATTGATAGCAGAAGCGATCTTGGGCGGCTGTACAATTTTGAGTTTGAAGTTGAACTGGCATAACTGACGAAGGGGCGCATCCAGGCTTCTTTCCTCCCATATCCTCTTCGATTCCTCCATTGGATGATCGTCAACTACTTCATGCCAAGGTAC